GAGGGCAGCTCGCAGGAGGCCCACCCTGAACGGACTCCAGCAGCTTGGCACAGGCAAACCGAGCGCGATTGCTTAATATCCTCCTCACGACCCTTGGGCGGCCTCGCAGGGTTAATGGGTAAAAAGCTGCATTGTTTGCAGCCCAGGCAGGAGCTGGGCTGACACGCCTGCCCGGGAGCTTCTGCACTGCATTATAATGCTGGCAGTGGTCACCCCAATGGGGCTGGGGGGCTGCTGCCATGTTTGGGCAATGCTCAAGCCAAGCTGGGGCAGAGCTCCTGCCTCCTGGGGCCCTGCTTGCCTCAGTTTGGGTTTGGGGCAGGAATCCGACCTGCTGGGGGTTGGACCTGCTCGTGGGAAGCAGCCAAGAGGTTTGAGCTGTGGGGAATGCAAGGCGCATTCAAATTGAGGTCTGTGGGTCTGAGCACTTCACTGCCCTGGAAATTACACAGCAGATAAGACACCCTTGCACCCAGGAGGGCATTTGCTGGTGTTTCCTAGAAGCCCCAAGACTCACAGATATACAGGATCAAGAGGGAAAGGCACTGCTGGTGCTGCTGATCTGGCTTGGTCCAAGCGTGGGTTCACCTCGTCCCCAGGTGTCCAGCCAGGAGCTGCAGAGTTGGGCTGGGGATGAGAATCAGAAATTACCAAAGCACTGTAATGAACAGGTCTTAAACCACCAGGGGAAAGCTGACAGTCGTCTGTGCTTTCCTTACCCAGTGAGCTCCAGCCCACAGCTGGTCCCTCCGTGGTTCCAGGGAGGCCGTGGAATGGGAGCAGGGATGCAGTGTGAAGCCCCCCAGCCCTGCTGTGACCCCACAAACCCCCCTCTCTGCTGGCAGGTGAGCTTGGACCCAGCAGGACGATGGCAAACTCGGTGCAGGGCGACAGGGGCCTCCCCAGCGCGGAGCTCTGGGCCTCCCATAACAAGATGGTCATGGAACCACTTGACAGCAACGACCCAGAGGTGAGAGCCCCTGCCTGGGCCCTGCCCAGCAGCCACTTCACTCATCCCCTGGGCAGCCGTGGGGATGCTGACCTCCTCAAACCAGGCAGACAGTCCAAGGTGGAGCTGGTGGGACCCACCCAGCCCCTGTGCTCTCCCCGAGTGGGAGAGAAAGGGCATCCTCCAACCATCTGCAGACACTGTGGTCATTCCTTTGCCCTCTGCTGCACACCATACCCCTCTGCCTGAAGCTCTAACGCCCACACCAGAGCCAGCCCATCAGCCCACGGGGCAGTTGCCCTTGACTTCCAAGCCCAAATGAATTATCTGGCAGCTTCCTGGCAGGTAGAAACCTAACCCACGGCCTGGGACTGGACACAGGAGCTGTTTGGTATCAGCAGTACCCAGAAGGGATCTCACCTCCCTCCTGCAGCACCTTTCCAGGCCCCTCTCCATGCCCTGTCCCCTCTGAGGGGGCGTCCCCTAGCACAGAGCACCCCCAGCTCTGTGCAGAGCTGACACGGGTGAGGCTGCTTCTCTCCCCTCCCAAAGGTGCACAGCATCATCAAGAAGGAGAAGCAGCGGCAGCGCCTGGGGCTGGAGCTGATTGCATCTGAGAACTTTGCCAGCCGAGCAGTCCTGGAGGCCCTGGGCTCCTGCCTGAACAACAAATACTCCGAGGGCTACCCAGGACAGAGGTACAGGCCTGGGGCTAGTCCCACCCAACCCAAACTGCTGCAGGGAGGGAGAGGAACCCCTCACACCACCAGACCTCACCTCTGGAGGGGAAGCGATGTCCTTGAGCTGGCAGCCAGGCTCCTCCAGGGCAGGATCCGACCCTCTCAGCTCTGTCCTTGGCCACACACGGGACGATCTCAGCAGGGTCCCATCAGGGGTCATCAGGGTCACGTCTGCTGCTGCTGCTGTCCCGGTGGCCACCACAAGTGTGGCATCACTCTTGGCCACCACAAGCGTGGCATCACCCCGGTTTCTCCCCAGCTTGGTGACAGGGACCATTCTGAGGCGGGAGCTTGGTTCTGACCCCTTTACTGGCAGGTACTACGGCGGGACGGAGTTCGTGGACGAGCTGGAGAGGCTGTGCCAGAAGCGAGCGCTGCAGGCCTATCGCCTCGACCCCCAGAAGTGGGGCGTCAATGTCCAGCCCTACTCGGGTAAGGGGGTGCTGGGGAGAGCCAGGCTGGGTGCCCCATCCCCCCGCAGCCCAGCACACCTCACTGGCCCGGCGCCCTCCTGCAGGCTCACCCGCCAACTTTGCGGTGTACACGGCCCTGGTGGAGCCCCACGGCAGGATCATGGGGCTGGACCTGCCCGACGGCGGCCACCTCACCCACGGCTTCATGACGGACAAGAAGAAGATCTCGGCCACCTCTGTCTTCTTCGAGTCCATGCCCTACAAGGTACAGAGAGCTGCTCCAGATGGAGCTCGGAGCCGGGGCGCGGCCAGCAGGCTCCCCACACCCCCTCCGGCGGGGTGACACTGCAGCTGATCTTCACCAAGGTGGCTGAACCCCTCCTCTTCCTCTCCCAGGTCAACCCCAAGACCGGTTACATCGACTATGACCGGCTGGAGGAGAACGCCCGCCTCTTCCACCCCAAGCTGATCGTGGCAGGGAAGGG